TATTCAAATCATTAAATTATTAACAATCGATTCCAATTGTTAAAGAGTAATTCACAAATATTAGGTTATTTAGGTAATTAATTTTAACTGAACTAAAATTTTTAATTTGGTTATAATATTCAAATCATTAAATTATTAACAATCGATTCCAATTGTTAAAGGGTAAGTCAAAAATATTAAATGACTTGACGCTCTATGATTGGCTTACAAGCACGGTCTCCATCCTAGTTCATGCGCCACCGCCACGGACTCGTGCGGATGAATTCCGTAAGCGCAGACAATTTCCTCCAACTTACTAGTTTTATTGCCTAGAACAGCCCACCCAAACAGCGCTAGGGAATAGTAACGCTCTCGAAATAAAACTCTTGAAAGATTGAATTCGTATCTGTTGCTATGGAGTTATTTTTGTAATAATGTAATAAGTGAAAAAAGTAAAAATCTCATCAGAAAGATCAACCACGATTTATATAATGTATCTAAGGATACTTTTCCAAAATAGCGTGCGTTTAAAGGAGAAAAAAGCAATTGAAGTTTTTTAAGGGGTTAGGGGCGAGTTGTTAGCTGTAATATAATACACGACAGCTCTCTGCCTGTGACGTCACCTCTGCCTGTGATGTCAACTTGGCAGATACGCTATCGCGTATCTTCATACGGTGCAGTGTAGGATTCACCGCCGCATGGGATATGGCCAATTCGCCAAAAATGGAGGCAGAAAGGGCCGGAATATAAGAGAAAAATCCTGTAGAGTTGGATTAGAAAAAAGGGAACAGTTGAGTTGTGGAGAAGTGGAAACATAGCAAACGACTTCCGTAAAAACTGTTGCAGATCAATTTAAGCAATTAATTCGTGTCAACAGTTACCGCCGCGGGTGTTTTAAATGAATGAAGACGTATTTAATTTCGGACTACTGCGATGATAGCTTGTCGATTTCATATTTTCGAAAACTGAAAACACCATATTCATATTTTTCTAATTTTTATGAACTACTGATCTTTGTGAGAATCTGTATTGGTCGGTACTAATGCCGTGTCGGTTCAAATTTATTGGCTTCATGAGAAGGAAGCTGATGATTGCGCCATTTTTTAGGGTTTCACTTTTGATTAAATTTATTACGTTTTTATTAAATTGCTCCTGCTGTTCAAAAAATCATCACTAGACATGTTATAGAATATCTTGTGAATACATGAGCAAATTTCGAATTGGAATTTCAAAACGTCATAATAACAGCTTTCTCCATAGTTGGAAGTGGTTTCTCTGCATAATCAATCTTCACTTATCACTTACTTAATTTACCTGTTTGAAGAAAAAGTACAATGCGCTGCGGTCAAGACGAATGACTCGGATACCAATGTACCCCCACATCCCCAGTCAATGCCAGAACCAGTATTGTATCCAACTGCCACCATGTGCGGGAATTCTTTGGGTTCCGCCTTGGTCCCACCCACAATGAGCTTCTGAGACTTGCTGAGGCAGAGACTTGTATTGACAGGTTTTCGATCGCCTGCTAAGATAGGTGGGATTACCAGAGTGTAGACTGATTTGGTATAAAGGGTGCACACTGAAAATGAAGATTAAGAATAAGGCATTTGCGAGAAGAAAAAATAGTTATATAAAGCTCAGAGAAAATACTTGCCAAATCAGAATTTTGCAATCTACAACTTAGACCGTTTTTATTCTTTCGCCAACTTTTAGCAAATTTCAATGAAAACTATCTGATTCACCTGACACTGAATAAATAATGCAAGTTTCCCGGAAGCTATGTATTACCTACTTATTGATAACTGTTTTTTTTGCATGCATGTTAAACGCCTCCCCCCCCCCCCCTTTCCGTTACTTATCCCCAGTGGAGTTTAAAATTGAACATGTTTACATAACGCTATAAAAACAACGTTCCTTCTCGTATACCCTTTCGGGTGTGTACGATTTGTAACCTTCCCGCCCCACAGCCCCCCCCTATCGCATCTGCCCAAAGGGAGGGAAAGACCTCTTTCGAGGGAATAAACCTACCCTGATACAGTCGGCGTTTTGACACGACTACCGCTCGACAGTGAAACTGTGCGATTAGGGCGCTATAAAATTTAACCGCCGGTGCTCCGGATCATCAAACTACCGGCTCTAATTCGGTTTTTCTCTCTCTTTGAGCCCTGGTTCGACGGATACGGGCACAGGACGATGCTTTCATAAAGAGTCACCTTTGACGATTATTTTGTGGTCAGACCCCATCTGCTGCAATTGAGTAAATAAAATAGAACAATTGTCCAAAATTCTGAGGTGGAGCGATAATTTTACTAAATAAAGCAAATAATTCGTGGATAAATTGTTATTCTTGAGAAAATGAATATAACTCTGATAAGTAGCCTAAGGGCCGATGATGAGAACAGGGCTGGGAAAGCCTTAGCAATTAGGAATGAGACAGATCGGTCTGACATCTAACACAGATCAAGTCTATAATAAGACCTATGAACTGACAAAATTTCAGATTTTTGGCAATTAATTTAGCATGCTATTCTTCTTCTTTTGTAAAAATGGGCCCTCAGTAGACCATCTGCACATACACACATGGTCTTTAAACTTGGTATTGTTTAGTTTCAGACCATTCTACACCGTTTCCAGGCAAAATTGGAGAATAGGAAAATTGAATGATAGCAACGCTTTCACTCGGAAGCAGAAATTGAATTACTCATTTTTTATTTTATTCATCTACGAGATTATCAGATCTATGGTATGCTGCACTATCATGTCATTCTCCCGGTTGTCATTCAGTAACGGTCTATAATGTTGGCCAAGGGTGGACAATTAATTAATAATATATTGTAACATGTTTAATTTCACGGGGGATGAAATCGGACTGGTAACCCGCCCTTTTCCCCTGGAATCTAAAATCGTCAAAATAAAATCAAGAGTTGAGCGACAGTCATTTTTTGTTTCTCCGGAAATAACAAACCGGAATACCCTAAATTCTCAAAATGGAAACAAAACTCAAAAGAATGTTATAAGATAAAGTCTCGAAAGAAAATACCAGGAAAAGGTGGTAATTACCCGCGTTGCTCAGGCTGTTGGTTCTGGAGAGAGGGATGGATTCTGGTGGAAACGAGTTTGTTGGGCAAAACTTTAAAAATAAATACTCCAAAATCTCTAAATTCAAGAGCAAAACCAAAATATTTTCGATATCAAAGTTATTGATACAGAGTTGCGGAAAATAAATACACAATTAGGCGTGACGTACGCAGAGACCCAAAAATTGAAATTATTCAAACTCCAAACAGTTTCAAACTTGGCCAAAAAGCACCAGAATAATCTCAGGCAGATATCCGCACTGGAAAAGCAAATTTTATTCCCAACTGGGGTGGCGATAAACGCATAATTCAATAAAGGAGGCTAATAATTCCCCAAACTCCTATAAATAATAGTAAGGGGCAGGGCGCATGGCCCTCAAGGTACGGCACTGCTCGAAACAACCGCACAAAATATCGGAATACCCGAACTTCTAGTGCGTGGGCCGCACGACGAATCGGTAACGGTCGCAGGTGTCTCTAATTATTAATAAAAATGGCTAAGGCAGCAATTATAGGCGATAAAATAATCGCAAGGGGGAATGAGAGATGAGAGAGACTCTCACCTCGGCGTTCCACGCAACGAGAGAACAAGAGATGTTCTCGGCTCGGTGTTCCAAGCAAAACTCCTTAATTAGTCATTTTAACTATCCGGAATATTCCCAAAATCGTTTCTGAATGTACTGAAATTTCCCGAATAAGGCGTCTACTACGCAATTGAATCGTGTCGAACAACAAAAATCTCTAACACGAGGCGCGATGTTCTCCAACGGATATTTTCCGTAAAAATGGCTCTACCGGGACGAATTCTGCTCTCCCGTATTGAGCATTAATTAATTATCAATTAGGAGGCGCGAGGAAGACTCTAACACACACTCATAACGCGAAATCCGCAAATATAAATGAGAAGCATGGCAATGCTCACCCCAAATCTTCATGCGTGTCTCCAGGCTGTAACTCAGCAAAACTTTAACTACTTGTCTCCTCCCTGGCCTCAAAATGTTCTCAAACTCGGCACTACTCCTCGACACAAAAAGAAATCCTCCAAACTCGTAATTAACTCAAAAAGAAAACGTTAACTTGTTGCACGCACTCGTATCGCGCGACGTCAACAACGAAACTGGCGTTTTCGCAATATGGCGGGTGGGAACGCGGTCAGCGCCCCGTCTCATAACTAAATCCCTAGCGCTTTCAAATTCCCAAGCGCGCAAAATATAAAATAGGCAAAACTGCAATTTAATTACCTCGAGATGGTGGACGGGTCTTTTCCCACAATAAATTCCTTTCAATTAAGGGCGCGTATGTAGGGTGGGTTTCTCACGGAATCCCGGGATCAGGACGAACCCAAATAACCAAACCCTAATTTTTCCCCCCATAATTACTTATTACTATTCCTTTAACTTTAATTCCTACGAACCCTAAGCAACCTGACTACTCAGGAGATCCTCATGGTTGCACTGATTCCCTCCTGACCTGTCACCGAAACCCTTACCCTAACCGGTTCTACCCCGTAAATCCCGAGCGATAATATTTCAATTATTCCTAGCCCTATCCTACACATTTACCCCAGAGTATTTTATCCTAAACCTTAACCGTGCAGCTCAATATTTTTTTGGCTCAAGACGCGATTAATTAAGGAACTCTACTTAATTAATTTTTATTTCTCGAAACTTTCATTCAATATTTAAATTAAACCCCGATAGCCTCAAAAGTCAGTAATTTTGGCGTTTAAATGCAAGGAAATCTTCAAAAGAGAAATAAGGTGAAATACGCAGTATAAGTTCTCAATAATTTTAGGCATCAAAAATGCAATTAGATCCTCAAATTCTAATAATTCTAAATCTCAATTCTGGACTCGACTGGGTCTTTTTCTGCGTACTCACGATAATTTTTATTATTTTCTTGACGCTCTCGACGTCCAAAAGGGAATTCCCCAGATTTCCTTACAATATTCATGTTTTTGTTGTGACGTGCATCAATTTTGCGGGAGCGCTAGAGAGAGAGGGAACAGCGCCCACCTAATGGTCCCACAAATGGTCCCATTGTGAAGAAAGCGAAAAAGAAAAAAACAACTAATTAAATTAATACCCGAATTTCCCCGAATTTCCCCGGATCGGCCGGCGGTTACGCCTAGTGCGGAGAGAATTTAGGGGAATGTTCCCGTCGGGAAAATTTTAAGGGAAGCTGAGGTTAGGGAGTAACTCAGGAAATGACTAATTGTAAGGGACATCGCGCCGCGAAGAGGGGTAACTAAAATGATCATCCGTCGGAGGCTGGAGGAACTCCGTTCGCGAAATCTTCCGGGGATCAACCGTCTGGCTATGAGTGCCAGCACCCCAAAGGGAGCGATCCGTGAGGTATCTTCAAATACTTTTAAGGGTGGAAGGTCGGTAGGGGTGTCACGACCAACACCCCACTGAATTGCCGATTGTGTTTGTCGCGTAGGGTGTTCTTAGGTAAAAAGTTCTGCCCACGGATCCCCGGAGAGCCAACCCGGTAAGGTTAAGGATCAAAATTAGGAGATTTATTTTCCCCCATTCCACGCCCAGCGCCGCCGCAACTAATCCACCAGAACTAACGTTCTAGGGAGGCAAAAGTTCCGCAATCTTTTTGGCAGTTATCGCCAGGACACGGAGGTGATAGGGGAGTTTTTCTACGCAGGAACAAAAGGACGCCATGGGAGGATCCCTCCCCGGGCACAAGTCCCGTGCCAAGGTGAGGGAATATTCTGATTAATTATCTCACTCACTCCGGTAACTGGAGGATCCCGTTTGTGATTAGCGAATGATAAAATCACTCGTCCGATCAACGGATCGAACAGCGTTTTTCCTCTGTCGAGGAGTTTGCCAAAGTTGAAGAGTTGGTAATCCCAGGGCACCATCCCCGTGAAATTTTTGCGGGCATTCTATGGGAAATAAGCGTGAACATACCGGGAGAAACCGCCGCAAATTCCCCGTGGAATGCGAGGAATAGCATCGAACGACATGCGTACCGTCGAGCCCTTGGGTGTTTCCCCCACTACGCTCAGCTCACCGTTGAGCGAAAAGTCTGGCTCAACGGTATTGGAAAATTCCCTTTCCGACGAACGGAGATATGTCGATCCACGTACGCAGTGAAAATCCCCAATTTTGGAAGGCTGTACGCGAGTGATCCCCATCGGTGGTGGAGTTTATTCGGGCTCCATCGGTTGACCCGTTACAGCGCTGGGAAATGAAAACCGTTAAAAACTTATCCTCACGCGCGCCGTGCACGTTGAGCGTAGCGCTGTCTCTCTCGCGCGCTATCCCTGTTTCTCCCTCTCTCTCTCTCTCTCTCTCTCTCTCTCTCTCTCTCTCTCTCTCTCAACGCCTCTTCCAGGCCTTCTCCGAGAATTTTCTCTGTGGATTGCCCGTTTGGGCTATAATAAAGGGCGCCTCAATGGACTATTAGGATAGTTCAACCCTTAATTCACCCCTTAAACCGTCGATTAATCATTACTTTGGGGTTACGCGGGATTGGAAAAGTC